ATTGATAGCTATCATTTAGGGCTATCCTCTTTACATGAAATAGCTCCTTCCATTGAACCTTTCTAAATTCACTTTTATATATATCACAATAAGGCTGTTGCTTCTTTTAGAGACAAAAACACATCAAAATCCTTCAAAACAGCTTTTATTTGCACTTGAAATATAAATATACCACTCATTCTATTAAAAACAGGAAGTCGATCACTTCATAAATCTAACAATCTCTTTCATTTTCTCGGTAGCCATTGAAATATTGGACAATTTGTATTTGCCTCTAACTCTATTTAATTTTGTTTAGCAAACAAAAATGTGTTATATATAAGCAGAACACTGTCAGACAACAAGCGTTGAAGAAAGAAGATACCAAGATGAGTTAAGACAGCCCCTGCCTTCAAATCCAATTACAGTCAATTTGTGGGGGACAGACACATACACAAAGACCACAGGAAATGAATAGAAAGAAGAAAGCAGAGAAGGGGCTAAATGTGAGCACCCTTCTATTCTGAAGATAATTTTAAATCTGGTGCCAGAAAGTTTGATCCAAGACAGGACTAAAGAGCAGACAGGATAAGGGAGCTGCTTTTACATTCCATCCTGGGAAACACCTGATCTGGGGGGACCTTTCACTTTCTCTTTTGTTCTGTCCTAGGTAGTTGCATCCAGCCCAGACGATCCTGGGGAAGATTTAACAAACGTTTGCTCAAGAATGGTTCCCAAAAAGGTAAATTACTTGCTGTCTGTTGTCTCTCTTTTATTTCCTTGTTGCTTCAGAAATCAGAGTAAAGCAATTTTAGAAACTACTGTTCTCTCAACACAGAGATATTTCAGTCTGTGTTTGCATATATATAGAGGGTGCCCCAAAAATGTATACACATTTTAAGAAAGGAAAAAACTCTATTAAAATGTAATACCCAATATATACCAATAACAAAAGATGAATACAAGTCATGTGTATACGTTTTTTTGGCACCCCCAGTATATAATTTTCTCTGAAATACCTTACAAAGTAACTTGAAATTCCAGTTTCCAAGCTTAGTAATGCTCTTGAGTGCTTCCTTTCAGGTCACACTTAATAAGGGTTTTCCTTGGTTAATCTTGAGCTCAGCTTTTGCCAAAAAGCAATCAGTTTGATAACTGCTTTCTTTGGCGTTTTTCCGTAGGTGTTAACTACTTATTCCTCATATGAATGAATTGCTGATTGCACAACTGGAAAAAAAATGACATCATTAAATCAACGAATTCTGTCTCAGAAGCAAAATTGCTGATACTGTACATTAATGTCAGTAAGAATAAACAGGGTCTGTGATTAAGACTTACAAACAAGCCGAGTGCAATTTGCCCTACAGACTTTTAGCCATGGGTTGCCTTTGTTGACAAAGAAGTGTCTGTCTTTTGAATCTGTGGGGCACCTTTTGGAGAGATTCCAAGTTGTCTTGACAGCATGGACTTCTTTTTTTTTTTTTTGGTGAGCCTGAGGGACTCCTAGCCATACAAGGCTATGGCTGAGTAAAGTAATTCTCAATAAGGCATAAACCACTGCAGCCCTCACATACCGTAATAATATGTTGTGCCTTTGCTGAACAAGACACAGGGAACAAAATTGCGGGAGCTTAAAATTCCTCTCATTTTAACGCTAGCCTGGGTTGTTCTCCTGGAGTTCCAAGTGGGAGAGCAAAGTGTGCAAGGCTTCTTGAGGATGAGGCTTAGAAATGATACACCATTTCTAGCACATTCCATTGGCCAAAACAAGTCAAAAGGCCTGCCACAATTCAAGGTGTAGAGAAACAGATTCAATACCTGGATGGGAGGAGTTACAAAGTCACATTGCAAAGGAGGAATGAAAATTTGGGACCATTATGCAATAAATCTGCCTCAACACTGAATACCCTGAAAATAACCTGTCTGTTTTAAATAGCTAGAATAAATTATGTTCTCTGAAATTTAATTCTGACCAATACAGTGGTGGGTTAGACACTTTAATTTTCTCTATTCCCTCTTAAAATTCTATAAAGTGACAGTAAATGAGTAAAACAGGTATAAACTGATGAGGTCAATGAGAATGGCAAAGGAGACAACTACAAAATAGAGATACTGACAAATATCAGTGATATGGAGGGCAGAGTCTGTTGCCGGCTGGGTTCTCTGGGAAGCAGACGCCATGATGAAGATGAATGTGCTGGATGTTTATTAGTGAGGGTCCTTGGGATCACCACCTGTGGAAGAGAGAGCAAGGGAGCAGAACTGAGTAGCAGTCAAGCTGCAAGGGAGGCCTGACAATAGTCTCAGCCAACCCTGTGGCAAGTCCAAACTAAAATGGCCTCTCAGAATTGTCCTACATTGGGCTGTAATGGTCTTCTCTGGGAAGGGCATGGCCTTGTGGATAGTGGCTCTCTGCAGTGGAGATAATCCCTAAAGGGCAGACAGCACAGAACACTCCTAGGAGCCGTAGCAGCTATCTTTCCTTGAGGCAGGATATAGACAGTACATCATTGCAAGCATGTTCCTACTGTGCAGCACATATTTAAAGCCATGAACAAAAATACCTCTGCTCCCACTGGGATCTAGTCTCAATACAGCTCTTAGAGTCTTAGTCCTCAACCTTCAGGAGTGAAGGAGGATACCTGTCAGCACCAGTGTCCTTAGTTCTGGCTCAAAACCCCAGACACAAAACAGTGAACCTGAATCTCATTGTCGCCTTGCCCTTCCTTAGGCTGTCTCTTCTACCTTACCATGTGGCACAGTGTTATGCTTTGCCCTGTGGCAAACTGTCCACAACCTGGTGCTTCCAGAGATTCTGGTGGTGTTGTACCAATACCACCAGAAACAATTAGAAAAGGCCAATGCAGGGGCCAGCAGGACATTCTTTTTATGAATTCCACAGGCAAAGGAAGGATAGGAATTGGAGTTGAGAGGAGCACAGGAACCCCAACCTTAGAGGGCGCAAGGGAATAGGAACTGGACCTGAGGAGCTGAACCCAGGACTTGTCTTTCTACCCATAGGTGTGAAAAACACAACATTAAGGAAAATTGTCAATGCAGTGACCCAAGAAGAGAAGATGATATTGGCTCCCTCAAGTTAATTGCAATTATAGTCACTTATAAACTGACTACTACCATTTATGTCTAATTACCATACAGCATAATAAGAAGTTTACATGTCATGAAGTGTGTGTTTAATAAATCAATTGGAAATCTAAACCCTGCTCTATATGGCCAGCCATCAGGGTTTACTTCTTCCTTGTGATCAAGGCTCCCCCATAACACTAGAGGGCACACTAGCTAGAGGGCAACTTCATTCTCTGATGATAGAAAACTCTACGGAACAAATCCATGTTTCAAATAAATGTCCTCTTTAAAGTAGAAGCTACTTTCCTACTTGAATTGTGGTGCTCTCTTGACCATGGGCTTTTATTGTTAAGAAAGCAAGTGTCCATTTCCAATATATGCTTCATCTTAGCCAAATGCAGTAAGGTATGTACAAATACCTCATGAACTGAAAAGTGCCAGCCGAGTGGTGTGTTGGTTAGGAGTTGGCTTGGGACACCAGCTCTGAGCAGTGGGGCCCAGGTTCAGATCCCACATGAGGGCCAGTGACGCACAGCCCTCTACAGCTAAGATGGTGAACAATAGCTCGACCTGGAGCTAGGATGCCATGAGTCGCCAGCGACAGTGTAGGCTGCAGTGGGGCTGGCCGGCAGCAGGCGTGAGCTTTCATGAGCTGCCGTGAGCTGCTGTGTGCCACCGTGAGCGACCGTCCAATGGCCTGTGAGCAACTGCCTCACCCAGGAAGAACGCAATGATAATACCAACATGGGCCAGTGAAGTGACGTCCTCCACAACTAGACTGAAGAACAAAAGGACAGCAACTTGTCTGTTCCCCTTCCCCGATTCCCCAATGCTGTTATAGAAATATGAGCAGTTCTTGGTATTAGTATTATGAATGGTCTCCATTTGTACCACTCCTCATCCTTGCTGTTCTTAAACAGTGGAACTCACATAGCTTAACAGTGTGCATCTATTAGTCTCAAATTTATTATGAACAATATCTTTCTTATTATTGTCTAATATTTATTGAGTGCTTGCTATATGTCCTAAGACTATATGTTGTATCAGAATGGCTCTGGCAAGAAAACAGAGCTACTATAAGTGGAATAAGGGTCTTCATATATAAAAAATGACAGTTTCTGTATTTGGATGAAAGAGGGGCTGGGGGAGTAAAAGTCTAGAAGGTGGCAGCCAGACCAGTGTGGAAAGAGTCGCTGATGTCTTCAATCTGAACCCTGGAGTGTGTGGGTGGAGAAACTCAGCTCCTGGGGGTAGGGAAGGGGTAGTAGGAGAATCCTGCCATATCTGCAGAGTGAGAGCTCCTGGGCAGGGCTGTGAGTTCATGTCTTGTGAAGCGCTGATGAACCTTAGCAACCATTATCCCAAGAACAATGGTCTCCCTTCACTTCTGCCTTCCAAGTCTTGCACAAGACACAAACTCAGTCTTACTCACAAACACCAACCCAGAACCACATAGGAAAGGGGGTCCTGGGAAAGGTAGTTCCCGGCCTTAGATAGGAGTGATGTTGATGGTGCCAAGTTACCAACAGGCAACGCAGCACACAGATAACTCTAATATCTAGGAGGTAAGGGTTACTGTTAATATTTTTTGGCAGTAAAAATTCTGAGATGTTCAATAACTTGCATGAGGTCACACGCTAATAGGTGGTGGAGCTAAAACTCAGATCCCAGTCTGTCTGATGTCCATGATCATACTGAATATTTTTAACAAGTATTCTCTAGTGGCCCTTCAAAATCTATATAAATACTGATTATCTGTCATAGTATTTCTTTTAATATTATTTCCTGAGTCTGTGAGTACCAGAGGCATATGTTTTGACTATTCTAGAACATTGCAGGCAAGAGATACAAATTTCAAAACTCAAGCAAAGTGTCAGGGAAGCATGTCTTCTTTGGGGCCAAGCTGGGACATTTCTG